CTAGCAAAGCAATAATATGCTCCCAAGACTCTTGAATAATCCAATAAATCTTAAACTATTTTTTTTAATATCTACAATTTCTACACTAATAAAAACACAACAAATATAAAATTCGTACAACGCACGTGTCAACTACTAGTATATATACGAGCCATAGTTTTTTTTTTCCTTCCCTTCCTGCTCGTGTGTATGCGTGTATATATATATCTCTCGTTTGCAAGCCCAACTTTGACTTCAAGGAAAAACTCCCCCTTTTTTTTACTTTTCTTTCTTTTTGTCGGCAGCCTCTTACTTTTCTCTCTTCCCAGCCGCCGTTTTTCTTCCTCCTCTGTGTGTGTATAATGTAATATATATATTTGTGCATATATATTATACTTCAAGTCCTTCACTTTTCAAAATATAAAATTTGATCTCCAAACTTTGCATCCAGTAGCCAATTTAGTTCCTATACTTTGAATTTTGCCATTTTTTCCCGCTATTTTACATTATTTTCTTCAATTCTTCATCAAACATAAATTTTTACCTACAAAATGCAATTTAATATAAATTAGGTAGAATTTTATTTAAAAGACAATAAAATATCATCATTTAGAGCCTCGAATAAGTGTAGAAACTATACATATTAGTTACCTTTTTGGTGAACATTTGATAAGCGGTTTAATTTAATTCCGTGACAAGTATTCATGTTTGTGAAAATTATAGCATAAGTGATTATTTTAAGCCGGTCAAAAATAATTTTTTTTATGATTCATAGCAATGGTTGTTACAATTTAAAATTGTTAGCATCTCTAATCAATTTTGTGAGATTGTAAGATCACGTGCAAATTATTAAGATTTTGGGAAAATGGTCGATACCATTCTCGTGGTCGATCAACGATGTAGCCACAATCAAAGTTCGTAGAATAAGCTCAGAAAATTAGATGATCAGTAGCTTGGAATGGTCTTGACAAGTAGGGTTATACCATATCGGTATTTCACTTGAATTTTGGGCCAAGCATACCATCTTCAATCTCAAACGACGTTGTTAATTAGTGACCTCAACACTTTTTTACGGACTGTGCTGGATTCCTTAATTAGTATTGTTATCAAACCGATTCTATCAGGGACCAATCCAATCAAATTTGGAATGCATAATCAAAGAACCATACAAATGTCGGTTACTAGGCCGGTGTTGCCACTTTCAAGAGCACTTGAATCGCTTAGATATTCAATTTAAGGCACGTAATATTAGTTGAACACATTTATAATTTAAGTTGATGAAATGTGTTGTTGAAAAATTAATAAAAGTTATGGATTTCAGGAAATATACAGTTAAATTTTTATTAACTTTTTAAGCTACACTACACGAGGACTAAATAAATAAAATTAAATATAAAATACATTGCTTGCGTACGATGCCCTTATATATATATGGGGTCCTATCTGGTCGCACCTTTCGCACAGCTTCAGAGCCGTCCCCGTTATGTGAATTGCATATTTGCTCTCCAAATTCTACTACGGACTTGAAAATATCTGTTATGTGAATTGGGATTTTGCAGGTAAATAAATGAGAATGTAGTTGGCCGCACGCAATTAATGG